ACTTATTCACTTACCCTCTAAATTACATTCTATATGAATGGTCCCTAAAATAATGAGTAATCACTCCAATGTGGGTCAACCCTCAAGGCACCAGAGGAATCAGAAGAAAGAAAATGTTAGATCAATTTCATATTTTCTAATTAGAATGTCTAAAACTGAGCCTTCAAATGATAATTGAAATAATATTTGGATTCTTGAGTGAGGATGACAGTGACACCTTCCATATTTGTAAATTTTGAAAGATGACAATAAAGGAACAACAGCCTATGAAATTTCTGAGAGAAGTGTTTGCTACTTGCAGGTTGGTTGATGTGGTTAGCTAACTGCCCTGGGCCCTGTATTGGTTTTGCTCAATAGGAAATTGATCGTGAATTGCAGAAGAAGAAAGAGGAGCTGAATGCAGTGCGTAGGCAAGCTGAGGGCTTGTCTGAGGATGGGGCCGCAATGGCAGTGGAGCCAACTCAGATCCAGCTCAGCAAGCGCTGGAGGGAAATTGAGAGCAAATTTGCTCAGTTTCGAAGACTCAACTTTGCACAAATTGTGAGTTGTTACTGGCAAACCCACATAAGTGTTTGCAACTACTACTCTATTAACAGAGGCCTACTAACAACAACACAAAAAAATCCAGGTGCAATTTCAAACTACTTATGTGCATTTTGAAAGTGAGCAGTTTCTCTCACTTTGGGCTTCTGTAACACTAGTGCTTCATTTAGAAGTTTAAAACATGATAAATTAACAGCTAATAGGAAAAGCCCCCTTACCAGAAATGAAAGATACATCTTAATTTTTTTTGCTGCATCATTTTTCATAACATTGGCAATGTGAATTTGTCAATTTATCATACATTTACTTTACTTCAGTGTCTAATCCAGAAATATGTATTGCTTTCCTGAGATCATCCCATGCTAATTTTACTTTCTTACTGTATATATGGTAAATAACAAATATTTTGTGAAACATCTTATATCAACCTGCCTAAGGCCATATCCTATTGACTCAAAGAATAATAGTTTAGTCTTTAAACCTGGTTAACTTCTTAGTAGGTCACAATGATTATTAGAAAAACTTGGTGCCTAGCAAGATGGTTGGAAACTGATGTCAGATGAACAATACCATATAATGTCATTACAGAAATGCTACAAGCCAAAATGAAAAGGAATGACTTCTTTTTAACAACTGAATTTAAAGTTTGTGTTTCTCTCTCTTTCAAAAGGCAATTTAAAATTGTAATCTTGGACTTAGATTTTTATTTGTAATAAGGTACAAACTACAAAGATTTTCTGACAAACGCATTTTCTTTTCCTATTCCGGGTTCTTGTAAAGTGAAGAGGAATGAAGACAATCTGTAAATATCTAACAAAAATACATCAAAAGACCACATTATAAAAGTCTGAACAATAAGGCTTTATAATTATGTTGGATTGAATAATATGAAGCAAACAGACATTCAACCATTTTGACCTATGTAAATGACAAATGCATGTGGTT